GGGGGGCGGGGCCGGGGCCGGGGCCGGGGCCGGGTGTGCGCCCCCTAAATCCGCGCCTGTGTACGTCCCAGACACGAGCCAGGAGATCAGCGCCACTGACTCCGCACGAATTACAACAAGCCGAAGACATGTGTGTCAAAGCCTGCGGAAAGCAGCGGTGATACAGCTCCGATAGTATTGTCTAATACGATGGGGAGGAAGATTACACAATGCACAATACCCCGTTACGTTTTCTCTCATACTGATAATGACAACATTGAAATGCTGCATGCAACTGCATGAATGGAACTCCTTGGGAAATCAGTCTTTTCAAAATGAGTTGATTGTTTAGCCCATCAGAAATACTTCAAGCTTTCAATACATCTAAATTTTGTCAATGTCACCACAGAATGACGGAACGGCTATGTGCAAATATATCGAGGATCTTGTTCTTTAAATAATATAACTTCATCGTGGTGTAGATGAATGTTCATATGAAACAGGAAAACAATGTTAACACAATTGTGTTGTTATTATTAAACAACAAAAATCAGCAATCTTTTATTTTCAGTGGAGATCTTAACCGCAACTACAAAACTCTGAGTCAGCATTGTCTCAAGGTAATGTAGTGTCACTCCCGATCTGCTAACAAACATTTCATGTACGTTTTAATTGCTAACGATTTCTATAACGAAACTACCGAAAAGGAGGAAAGCAACTCGAATATCGTTGTCTGAAACAAACAGACGACTGCCAGTCTCCAGTTTGATAGGAAGAGCTAGGAATTAGCTTCGTATTTCTAACAAACGATATGATTTCGTTATCGCTAAAAGGTGTTTTTGTTTTCAAAACAGAACTGTTACATAGACGACAAATTCACCAAAACCAATAGTAAAAATGAAACCTCCTGGCTCATCCATACCATGTGCCATACAATGTTTTAAGTCAAGGATATCAAAATTGAAAATAAAGGAATTGATTTTTTCATACCGGTTTACTGTCTCTCTTTATTTATAATTACGTAAAACAACTATATCAGATACTGACAATAATAAAATGTGATTTCATTATTTCTTTTAACACGAGGTATACCGTGTATATCTAAACTGCACATTAAACAAACAAATAATATGTTAAACAAGTACCTCAGACGGAATTCTTACAGTAACAGGGACTACGTTTGTCAGGGTTCTTGTTGTAATTATGTGTTTATGACTTCCGGTCCGCATTCCGGATCCATTGTCTGTATAAGTATATGCCTTGCAATGCATTATGGGATATTCAATAAATACTGTTATGACCTGAATGGCGGCTCTCCTGGTTTTCCCTGACAAATGGTGTAGAACACAACACATCTGGCGACGAGACATAAATACGGACTCAGGCAAATAATGGAAAAGGTGTCAAGGTTGCGTAAGTAACGCCATGAAGCCCAGAAACTGTCTAGCGATGTACTATTGAGCTATTGCAACAAAAGACAAATGGATTGGACAAAAGTTATTGCAACTTACTTACGTCCTTTCCGTAACAGAAAATATATATACAAAATTAATGTGTCACGTAATAACCTATTACAAATTTATATATGTATATATATAAGATGTTAAAGCTGGGTTACAGCAAAAGAGGTAATGATAGGATTAGGGACACCAACGTATAGTTTTTAAATATGTATTCGGAGAGTTTATTTGAGATCGCGTGTGTGATTTTCCCAATCGGGTCGGCGTAAGTAGTATACCTAATCTTTACACACATATCCTCCTGTTTTTCAAAGTTCAATCACATTCTGTGCCGCATTTGCCTTTCTCCTGTGTAACTCCAAGTCCTTCTGTGAATTCCTGCCTTACATACTTAGCCGACTAGATTAGGAAAACCGGACACGCACTCTTTGTCATATGGAAACGGTTATGATATTGATGGACGCTAAGATTGAAGTAAGTACACAGAGATCGTTGGTGTTGGAAAAAAGGGAGAGGGGCTGGAATTAGAGAGGAGGTGGAGGGGAGAGACAGATAGGAATAGTCGAAGTAGGTATCCTGGTTATTCAATATGACTGTTGGGTATTACATGTTAAACCGTTTGGAGCTAAAAATGAACAGTTGTACAGACCTACAAATTTGAATGTTTAGATTGTAGTCAAGGTTTGCATCTCCGAAGAGAAGGTGTTCAACAGTGATTTCGTTATACCAATCGAGGGATTGAAGCATTATATTACGGGATTGATCAAATTTGTTACATTTTAGTAAGAAATGGGAAGAGTCTTCCGAATCATTTCCGCAGTCGCAAGTAGAGTTGTCTCGAAGGTGAGCTTTAAAAAGGTCGTAATTTAAAGAGCTACTGCGGTTTCGTAATTGGCAATGTATAATATTTACTTTTCTGGACCAATATTCAAGAAAAACATTGCAGTCTAAAGTATGGGTTCTGAAAGTTGTTCCTGTTTCTAAGATTATAGTTAGAGAAGTTTGACACAATAGGTGGTAGAAGAGACTTTAGAAATGAGGGAGCATTA